AGGGAGTGGGGGGGTTAGATGGGTCGGGCATTCTGGGGGGGCTGTCAGGGGGGCAGGGGTGTGGAGAGGGGTTGAGGCAGGCAGGGAGCAGAAGGGGTTGGATGGGTTGGGAGTTCTGGGGGTCCTGTCAGGGAGTGGGGAACAGTTGGATAGGGCATGGGAGACCCGGGGGTCTGTCTGGGGGCGGGGGTGTGAATATGGGGTGGGGGTGTGGATAAGGGTCAGGGCAGTCAGGGGACAGGTAGGGTCCTAGGGGGGGCAGGTTAGGGTGGGGGGGTTCTCAGGAGGGGGCAGTCAGGGGACAAGGAGTGGGTGGGGTTGGGGGCTCTGAGGGGGGCAGTCAGGGGGTGGGAAGTGGGAGGGAGTGGATGGGGGCAGGACGGGGGCGGGGCAGGAGTGGGGCTCCCCCCGTCCTCTTTTTTGATTGTGGAAATATGGTAACTCTAGTTCTACTCCTATTTTAAAGTTAAAAAAAATACAAAAAACAAAACAAAAAGTTTTAAAATTGTTCAGGCCTTCTCTATAGATTATAAGGAAGCAAATTTGCAAAACCCAAACTCCTCCTTTCCTTCCCCTATCCTTTGCAAATCATCTGTATGCCACACAGAAAGCTAACACTGACCCAGGTTCCCACTATAGTTATTGCTGAATCAAGATCAGTCTACTTTCCTCTCCCCTCTTCAGCTTTCTCAAGAAATCATTGGTGAATTTCTCACTTCATGTCCTTCTGTCTCTAGAAAATGTATATATATATTTTAAAAAATCATCATCTATCTAAACCATTGTCCTGATCACTGTTTGTGTGTAGCAGTCCTTTCCCCCACCCTTCACCTACGTTTTGGGTGGGATTTTCAAAGGAGCCTAAGGCTTAAACTGCTACAGCAGCACAGCCACAGTGCTTCAGTGTAGACACTCACTCTGGCTGGCTTAACTACATTGCTCGGGGGGTTGGATTTTACACACCCCTGAACAATGTAGCTGGGTCGACCTAACTTTTTAGAGCAAGCCTGGCCTAAGTAATTTAAGAGCACAAGTCCCACTGAAAGTCAATTGGACCTACTCTCCTCCGTGACTTGGGGCACATCTATGCTGCAATTGAAGGTGTGACTGCAGCTCGGGCAGACATACCCACACTAGCTTTAATCTAGCTACCACAACTAAAAACAGCAGTGAAGCTGCAGTGGCAAGTACTGTACAAGCCCACCCCTATGTACTCACATTCCTAGCTCACGCCACTGCAGTTTCATTGCTACTTTTAGCCGTTCTTTCTAGCGAAATTAAAGCTATTGTGGGTATACCTACCCATGCTGCAATCATACATTTGACTGTAGAATAGACATATCTGCAGGCTTTTGAAAATCATACCCCTTCTCATCTATAAACAAGCACTACAATTTGGGGGCAGGGTGGGGCGATATTGTAGAGTACCTAGCATAATCTGTGGTAGATACAGAACAGTCTGCCATCCTCTTGTCTGATTCATTATGCAAAACCAATATGGCATTTTTGCTACTTGCAGCAGCCAGAAAGGTTACCCAGTTATGCTGCATGATAAGCAAAAGCTATTCTAGATATATTTCGCTCTCAATGTCAATCTTAGAGCAGAGCAAGCAGGTCCACGTGACAGAGGAATGGGTAAAGGCACCAAAAAATCTCTGTGCTTCACCTGTACATGTGGATAATAGTACATACCTACCTTATAGAGGATATTAATATAAGAACTAAATAATATGTGAATAGCTCTTTGCATATTTTA